CTTTGACAGCAGAAATATTTCAATCTTACTAGAAGAATTAAATTATTGATAATTAATAACCATTGCTGAGCAGTGTTCTTTTCACCTTTATCTACAAACGTCCTTTCTACAAATATATGACTTTAATGAATTTTATGATGATTGTCTAGAAAAACTATGACTTCCATGAAACAGGTGCCTTTGCAAATCATCACATATGAATGGTTCTTTAAGCCACCATCAATGTTTCTTCACTTAGACAAAGTTTAAATAAAAATCAACCCAGCAAAGCAATAAAGAGTAAATATTATCATGTGTACACACATATTCAATTGCTACTTAGAGTTCTAAGATAAGGAAGAAAGGCACTCCATGGACTCAAAATATCTCACCAGATTACTAAAGGACCCAAAAGATCCCCTTAGATTACCAAATCTGGCAAGGTGGGGAAAAAAGCCCACCTGAGTATGCCAAGGAATATGTATAATGGATACAACCCAGATGGCTACAACAGCAGCAGATTAAATTGTGAAAGCTCATGCAAAGAACTGCATGAAAGCCCAAACTTTTTTTAAAATGTGATTTTTATCTGAATTTTTGTTTCTTTACAAGAGGAACACCTGTGGCCTGACGAATGGGTATAAAGTCTGTGTTGTGAAGCTTTTCAGGACACAAATTGCAGGTAAGCACACTGACTGCAGAAGGATGCCTGGGCAACCACTGATGCTACAGAACTGATACTCTGCAAAGGGAAGGGAAAGCACATGGAAAAATCTCGTTATCCTTAAGGTGAGATACAGAACTTCTGGAAAAGAGGAGATGCAGACTTTTTCTCCCTCGGGAGCCAGAAATCTATGGGAGGGCGGTGCAGTGTTTTAATTAGTGGTAAGACTACTCTATTCTAAAGTAGTCCTTAATAATCATGGATTTATTAGTCACACAACACAAAAAAATAATTACACAAACTTTGAGAGAAGGAAAAAAAAAAGACATGGCAAAACCCCAAACAACAAACCCAGCATACAGTTCTAACCTCAAAGATATTCTCAGATTATTTTGAAGTAATCAGTCACACTAAATCACATCAATCCACATAAAAAGGAAGAGTTTTAAACTAAAGAATGAGAACCCCTATCTTAAAACTCCAATTCATGTCTTTAATATTTCAGGATTAAATTGTAAGTGTCCTTTATACCCCACAACCCTCTAATTCAGGTAATTCATGGTACAGAACTCAACATCAGCCATGACACCCAGCAGTTTGCTTCATCTGAATAAGATCAACAGTGCTGGAAATTTCTAAGCATGTAACAAATAGTGTTTGCTTCTTAATCAATGCCACAATATTTGATGCTTGCACTGCTTAATGCAAGACCGTGTGGAGAACTGTCAAGTAAAGCTCTGGGATCCAGCTCAATTCACATTAAGGTTCATTCATGTATGTGAATTTATATACAATGAATATATTTATATATGGAAGTGCTCCATATATACCACATTATCAATGTTGTCAATTAAATTTTCATCCAGATGTAGTCTGTATATATTTATGCTCACACTGGACTACTGACAAGTCTGTTCCCAATTACTCCACTGAGCTGGACTGAAGCTACCCAACAGAAGTAAAGATATATCTTCCTGTCTTTATACACTCCATGCCCAGAGCCAAACCAAGAAACTCCCCTGTTCTCTCTGTCTGCTAATGTCTCTGAAAAGCCATCAGAGAGGACCACCACCTAGCTAGCAGCTGTTTCTTAGACATCTTAAAATGAAAGATTTTCACTTTTTTAAGGCATAGGGATGATAAACATGACTAGAAATATTCTGAAGAGTCCAAGCACAGTGGGAGGGAGCAGAAGACATGGCTGTACTGAGAACTGCATCCAGCTGCTGAGCCTGCAGGTGCATCTGGAGTAGATGGACAGGATGAAAAATTAGAGATGTTTCTGAGCTGGATACATTTGAGTAATGAGGGAAGTTTGTAAAAATAAATCAGAGAAAAACATGCTTGAATAAGATCAGTCTAGAGCAAAATAAGACAAACGGGAATGAAATCACAGTTGAGATCTCAGTGATGTGAACAGGAAGTAGAAATAAGAGACCCAAAAAGAGAGAAAGCAAACTATGAATAAAATCTGGCACTGGATCTAGTGGGAAAAATTATGAACAGCTAGAAGAAGTGGCAATAAGAATGGCAAGTGTGAAAGAAAACAGTCCAACTTTAAAACAGTAGGCCAAAGGTTAATAAGGGAATTGAAAACTACCATATAATTTTCCAGTTCCCCCCCGAAAAAATCTACATCTGGGAATAATTCACACCACAGTTAGAAGAGCCTGAGAAATAAGCATGAACACTACAAACCACAAAAGAGTAAAACTCACTATCTTTTCCACAGATTGTGATTTATAAAGGCTCCGGATATTCAGAAGAATGGGGCGATAAGGAGCAGCATTTCACAGGTGCAAAACAGATACTTCCCTGAACTCAAACACATCCAACTTTCCATCCCTTCAGCAACCAAACATGAATGCTGTAGGTCTTGAACAGGGCACTGTGGAAGATAAAAATAGTTCTGCCTACAACAAACACTTGTCTCTACAGGCTCTGAGCATGGCAATTGAGGAGCACGAGGCGCACTTTCCATTTCCTAACAGAACTTCACCTCACATGCTCAGCCACTTGCAGATTAAAACTAGCTGTCTTACAGCTGTGCAGCTAGTGAGAGGATTAAAGGAAAACATAAAATCCGTGCAAAGATACTTGTCAGTTTAGGATTCTCCAGATACAGCTCATTCCCAAAAAAGCCACAGTGAACAACATGTGGCAATATGAAAAACAGAGCAGAACAGGGAAAAAAATTTGCAAAATGCCCATAACTAAACTAATGTATATTGTGAATATGCAAATATGTTCTATTTCATATCAACTCTAAAGCAGCATACAGGAGCAGAACATTAGAGAATTGTGCCACAGAAGGTTTAGGGGAGATACAGGTGTTTGAAATAAAAAAGAATGGCTCTCTAAATGTTAAATTGGAAGAAGAAGCAAGAGCAGACACCAAAGAATGAGTTTTTCCATGCTCTTGCCACTGTGCATGACCATATACATTCTCTACTGCTACTGTAGAGAATGCCAAAATTCTTTTTTTTTTTTTGGATCTTGATGAAGTGCTGTCACACCAGCAGTCCAGTGAGATAGAAGGGCACTCAAAACTGCAGTCACACTTCAAGCTCACTAACCATTCTGTTATTCTCTGATAGCTTCCATTTTATTAGAGAAATGTTTCCACATGGAAATGACTTATGTGTGCAAGGAGAAGTCTCTCTCCTCAAGAAGATTATAGCAATATATCAAAGAAAACCCCAAAGAAAGCAAGGTTGGCCAAAAGAACAGAGTCTGTCCTAGTTCAACCTTTATTTTATTTTTCCTGTTTCTTTTTAGTAGTGGAGAGATACATGCAAAAGAAAGGCGTCAAAAAAACTGCAGTGAGAAACCGCAACAAGGAGCACTGCAAGGAAAGAAGGGTTAATTACAGCACAAGAAAAGATGCAAGGAATGTGAAGAATGTCAGCAAGTAAATAAATCAATAATCTACAGTCATCATCTACATTCCTGAACTACCTTGAAAGCAAGGATATCTACCCTAAAAATTCCTGACAACAGTAGAGATTTTCAAGGAAGACCCCCCTCTGCTTCATGCTCAGTTTCTGCCAACACCTTTCTGTCAACAACTGATTACAAGGGAACCTTTCCAAAGGGAGCCTGTATTACCTCTTACAACAGTTTTATTAATACAAGCTTGTGAATATTTTGGGACAACCCAGAAAAATTAAAAAGCCAGAATTAATGCTGTGATCATTGCACTTAGTTGAAAAAAACCTCAAGGTCATTGTCAAACAACTGCAGAAATGATGCACTATATTTCCCCCTCAACACTGCTCTCTAAAACATACTGGAGCCTAGCAGCTCATGGAATAACAGTCCAAATCAATAAAGCCAGAGACTAATGTGGTTTTACAGATATATTTCTTCACAATGGTATCAACATACTATAAAATAGGAGTTTTACAGAGGAAATGGAAGCTGAGTGAGACAAGAGGATCTGAAAGTCAAGACTCAACAAGCTAGAAACAAACAAAAAACCACTGACAAAAAAACCCCAAGCATATATACCAAACAATCCAGAAAACCCCCCAAAACCCCCAACCAAACCCAACCTTGAAAACAAAACCCTAAACCCCCAATACAAGTATACAGGTAAAATCAAAGATATGCCCTCAATAAAAAGTGGACCTACAGAGCAAATCCATGGAGGACCTTACTGATATTTTGTGGAAATATCAGTAATGACTGGAAATGACTGAGCTTCCAGCAGGGGTTGAGGTAAATATCCTGGTTTAGTTTAGTCCATAAGAGAATCTAGATTAAGCTGGAGTTCAACCCAAAAAATCACAAATGGGAAACAACAGAAATAAAATTCAGAAGTGTAATACTGAGCCAGTGCAAACACGGATTTACCTGAAGTTGCTAGATGACTCTGATGCTATATATAAAAAGATTTCTAAGCCCAGTCTCAAAAAAACAACAACAAAAAAGAAAGGGAAAGGATGATTCCATGAGCACTGCTGCTTAGAAGACCACTTTTGTTGACAAAACACAGCAGTTTTTCTCCAAAAATTACTTTACTACAAAAAATGTATTGTACAAATCCCACAACAAATTATCATTGTGAATAATTTCTAAACTGGACATGCAGAATGCTTTTGCAACACTTGCTTTTGCAAATGGAGCTGATACAATACAATTAGGAAGCTGGGGGCATCTTTCCATGTGACTGAAGAAATTTCTTAATGAAGTGTAGCAATTAAAACAAGTCTATTTTCAATGCCATTTTACTTCCAAAGTGGGGGTGGGGGAATGGGGACTCCACCCGCAACTGTCCTCAATAGGTTTTACGGTCATCTTAAAATAACAGATGCAACTATATTAATAAAAAAACAAGAGAGAAAGCCTAGTGTACCTGTATGTTGTTCTTCAATCCAAGCTTGCAGATACATGAAGAGGAGTAGACCAGCTACTCCAAACAGCAGTACAGACACGAAGACTTGTCTTAGGTTCATGACCCTACAAGGGGGCTTCTCTTCAGCTTTCAGAAGGACTCATTGCTCACTTTTCTGAAGTCTTCAGCATGCCTGCATCTTCTTGCAGAGATGTCTTCCCCAGAGACACCAACCTGGAATAACAAGAGAGGGAGGTTGTTCTCATGTTACACTTTTATTCTTCACCAGAGACCGTGTTAACAGCACACTATATACAAGCTGGAACTCTTACAAGCTATTGCTTTCAATGCTTATATTTCTGCTCACAGTCTCAATGTTCTTTCTACCCCCAGATGAGCTCCAAGCAGATGTGTTTCTCAAAGTGGCTGAAAAGACCCTTCCACCTCCAGCAGTGCAAACATCACCTGCTGTCATAACAGAGGGAGGTGATGACCCAAAGGAGGTCACTGGGTGTCACAACAATGCCCCACTCTGCCCACAGACCACCACAGCTGGGAAGCTACAGCAAGCAGCTGGAGCCTTCCAGGTGGCTGGGTCACACTCCAAGAGGCTGCCAGCCCCCTGTGATGGGCAACTCAGCACCTCTGCTTCTGGACTGTATAATCATGTGTCCTTAAGGATGGGTCACCCCACAACACAACCACTCGGCTCGCAGAGCCCTGGCATCAGTTCAGCCTGTGCATCGAGGAGTCATACAATGATACCCACCCTCAAATATGAACCCAAGTTGAGTTTTGCAGGATTAGGAAATGTCAGCATAAGATGGTATCAGTAAAACAGCAAAAAAATTAATTAATGGCTCATCTTTTTATTCAGCTCTGATTTGCAATATGGAGAGGGACTTGTCAGGAACTCAATTCTTGCCACAAAGTTTAATGGAAATGAGCTCAACTGTAAAAACTTACCAAAATGATTTCTTTATTGAACAGCAGTGGGCCCAGAGAAAGTGATTTACCTGATACCCTGTATGTGCCACAAAGGGGTCATAAAATTCATTTTATAAAATCAGAACATGGATCACTAGAGGACAGCTCCTTAACCTGAATAAGAATGTGCTCGCTTTGAAAGTGCATTATTAGAAGCTGAAGAGCTGTTGTTGAAACTGGCCTGCACAGCAAAAGAAAATGCCTTAAAATTCAACATAATGGACACTGTTGTCAGTACATATGACAGAAGTGTATGATTAACTAACACATAGAATTCTAGGAAAGCTTTTAAAGGAATACAGCCAACTGGAAGATATTTGAAAGATAAATCTGTTAAATACACAGAAAAGAAAATGCAGCCACTTAACAGTTTTTCTGAATCATACAAGTACTCCATGTTCCACAAGTTTGTATTTTTTAATAACTCGGCACTGTTACATCTATAATTGCTGAGTTTCTAAAAATACAGTACACATAAAACTTAGCAGGAACTCCCATTAAAAACAGCAGTTGAATGAACGAAGTAATTATGTTAGAGAGATGCAAAAGATTTCAAGAACAACAAAACTGTTCAGGACTTTTCATATGTTTTTCCAATTCCGTGCCATTAAACTATACACTTCTCTTAAGTGCCAACTTGCCTGCAGAAAATGTAAGCCACGGTTTAAATATTAATCATTTTATGTGTAATTGTTCTGTAGAAGAGAGATAGCTAGACATTAACAGAATGTAAATGTTCTGTCTCAAGTTTTTTTCTAAGGGTCATGAAGCAACTGGTTCAAACCATGCACATGAAAGGAAGGTGACAGAGGCTTTATTCTTAACCTTGCTCTTTCTACTTTGATTCTACAGAGAGGGAATTTCTTATATGTTATATACAAATACCTGTTTGCAGCTAACGTGATGATGCGTAGGATTGGAAGGAAGCAGTGAAAATTGGACAAAAACCAAGAAAATGCTTGGGGAATGCTGTGAAATGCTTTTTGTATCGGTGTGGGTAGTGGAGCCTCCTTTCACCCAGATCTTCATTAGCTGTTATCACTGGCACCTTTTTTTTCTTACAGTGCTCTCAGCACTCTCAGACTTGCAGTGCTCTTTATCTATGCTACAAAGTTACTTAGGGCTTTCCACCTAACTTCAGTGCTGCAGCAAATGCACTGTTTGCATGTCTTTAGAAGTCACTCTGCTGATGAGACAGAAGCTTCCCAGCATAAGCAATGCTTCAAGAACCACCAGTCATAGAATCGACGAATACAAACCTCTTCTGTTTCCCACAAACAAAAGCTGTGTTGTTCATGTAACAGGACATTGACAGCATCTGGATTAGGAGGAAAAAAAAGCAGCAAATAAAAAGATATGAGGGTCTGAATATATTTTTGAAATAAATTAGGGGTACTAGAAAGCAGGAATCAGATTCTTGCTGTTTGGGATTTGCAATTTTCTCTCATAATAAAAGGTGAGGAATCCAGGCACACACAATGACAGTGCATGCTCCCAAATAAGCCCACTTCTGTAATGTTGCTTTCTTCTATCTCTGACTACACAAAGCTCCCATATATTCAGCCCTTCTTTCTGAAAAACAGCATTCTTGAGTGGGCAAGGAAAACCTTCTCAGGCCACATGGATAATGCTGAAAGGAAAGTATCTCACACCACATCTCCATGAACATTTCTGACACTTATAGGCTGGCACTGCTGCTCTCTCCAGCCACTTGCTCTCATTCTCCCTGTTTGCCCAGCTCCTGCCACCACCATGAGCACTTTCTGACCAAGTTTAACCAAATTACAGCCCACAAAGAATTTACCCAAGGAATGGTGCCAATGGTTTTTCCCTTAGCAGTAGCTGGTATCACATACATCCATGACCCATGACAGCATAGGATATAGAGCTGATCTTGCCCAAACACCATTGTGGTTGCATGCAGTACCACCTACAAGCCCTGAAACGTGATGATGAAAATGCACAGTAAAATAAGGAGCACTTTTAAGCTCCTTTTTTTTAAGCAATTTAATCTTTTAATAAGAAAACAGATGTTTTTCTACTAGGTAAGTTTTGGTTTTGAGTGGAAAGAAGTTTGTAAAAGGAAACAGCAGTTCAAGGTGTTTTTCTTTTTTTTTGTTTTGAACTACCAAACACACCCTAAGGCAGATTCACTCCACCATCACAGTCACTGTAATTATCTTTGTATCAAGAGTTTACACGCTGCTTGCAATTAGTTTAATTTATTTAAATTTAATTTATATGAAACTGTGTTCTTCATTTATATGTTGACTAAGTTTTACGATTAGTTTTAAACAAGAGTAACATTACTTTAAATTAAGATGACTGATTTTAGCTCAAGTTAGAAACTAAATACATAAGATCCAACTATTCTGCTACCTTATAAGATTTTAAAGGCTTTTCAGGTTGAATGAGTAGTTTAATTTATTTAACACAGTGATTTGTAAACCCCATATGAAAAAATTACAGTGACATTTAAAAAAGTCTGCATCTATGAGTCTTCTAGAAGAACTTGAAAAATGGCTGCACAACACTGACAAATTTTCTTCTTTCATATTAAAAAGCAATGGTTGTGGATTACACTCTCAGGCAACCTGGGCAAGAGGAAATACCTGCAAATATTCTTTAATCAAGATAAATGCTTTCTCATAGCTGTGAAAAGCCAAGAAGCTGCTACTTTCAACCCAAGTATTTTCAAAAGAGATCAGCCATATCCAGACATAGGTTCAGCATCCCTACTTAAGCTGCGAATCCTTTTTTTTTTGCTTCTAGTTCTGGGGGACATGGCTTCCCTGGGTTTTACCTTGACCATCCTTGCTGGATGGTTCTTGCTATGAGGGAACTAATGTAGCCTGAGAAACTGCTCTGTGCCTTCCACCTATGCTGAACTAGATTCTTTCTTTTGGCCAACATCATCCCCATCTCTTTGGGATGTATGGACCCCAATGTCCCCACCTGTTTGAACTCAAGCTATGCACTCCAAAATTTCAAATTCTTTTGAGTACTGGAGAGAGACTACTGAATATCCTTATCTATCATGGGGAAGCAGCTAAATCTGGCAGACAATAGCACTATGTGCCTTAGATGACAAACACAGGCAAAAATTTAGAAATTTTACAGGTCTACAGTCGTTCACTTCTGAGTCCAAATTGTTTAACATTTGTGAAATATTAAGAATTTCAAGAATCCTCATTTTACTGATATAAATGCCTTGCATTTTCCCCATTGTGTTTTGGGATCAAATAGGTTCATTCCTGTACAGAGCCAACAAGAACAATTGAAATAACACAGTCACCTAAAAACGGGGAAGAGTGTACCTCCTGCTTTTGGCATGATTCCTCCTTTCAGTACATCATCCAATTTGTCTTCCTTTCAATCAAATATACCTGCAGCTGAGGAGAGGCACCTCAGCACTCAGGTACCATTCCTGGCTCCTTCCTATTCTAGACCACACAAAACCAATGGCATCTGGTCAGTATGTTTGGCTAACTTTAGATTTCCTTGCCACCGTAACCCTCACCATCATCTAGTTTCAAAATCAAGGACATACAAATGCAAAACATTAGGTTGCTGCCTATTTAGAAACCTTTCCTTTCAATTTCAGCTTTTTTTCCTTCACTTGGAAATAAAGAATATCAAGATGCAGGGTTAACCAGCAAAATTCAGATGAAAAAACCCAGACAATGTTTATAATGGTCAAAACATTCATATTACTGTGGGATACTACAAATTCCCACCCACTCAGTATCTCCTTTGACACAACTGAATTAATGAAAACAAAATGAGAAAAAAACTACAGAAAGCTACTGCAACTGCACAGTTTTGGGGTTTTTTTTGGTGTTTTTCATTTTCTTCCCTCCATCCTTACCTCAAGAAGCACTACATTTTTGGATACCTCCACTGGAGTTATCATGGCAAGAAAATTTTGCAGTGAGGAATGTTCTGCTGGACACTGGCCCAGACTACTTTCAGCTCAGTCAGTAGAAGGAAGCAAGGATATCTTCTCACTTCAATGCTCCCCCTCCTCCCTCACTTCTCATCTGTTAGCTCATGTCCTACTTCACACGCAGATGATCCTCCAGGATCACCTTTCCACTGCCCACATCTCAACTTTCTGGCTTCACAACGACTGGC